ACAAACACGTCGCAGGCAAGAAGATATTCATACAACAGTTTGAAGTTAATGGAATAATTCACGTGCATCCTCTGTTCTAGGAATGTAAAATCTGAACTTATTTGAGGCAGCTGAGAATAACTCAAATGAAAATAAAAATTAGCCACGCTGCTACATGAAGGAGCCACGTAAGACTCTATTTCAGCAAAGATGCTCACACAGCTCCTGAAGGGCACATCTTCTGAACAGTTCAAGAGTAAAGTACTGCTCAGAGTGTTGTCAGTTTGTAGAGAGGAGAGCGTTGCTTTTTAGCAGCCATTCTTATTCACACTGAGTAATTCGTTACTCCGTCACCAGTCTCACCAACATGGATAGAATTGCTTCTGAAGAACTAGAGGTGGGTGGACGAGCAGTATCCACCCCTCAGTGGAAAGTGTTCTGTGTGGATGCCGAGAAATGCATTGAGATATTTACCTTGGAGAGAGGAAAACTTATATAAAAGCTGATCCTAATAAACATGTAGTGAGCAACTGCGGAAATGAAATTGGTGAAAGGGTATGAAGAGAAAATAAATAAAACTAATAGCAGCTGCTGTGTTAGGGGCTTAGGTCTGTTGAAAGTATGGGTTTATGTTATTTGAGAAATATTATAAGCCTTCTATATTAAGCAAAAGTCATGTGAGGGAGGGGAAACTGTGAACTTTCAGTTAAAGATTTTGTCAGGATGCATGGGCATAAAGGACATAAGGTCGTGCATGCTACCCTGATTCTGGCATTTCCTAAGATTTGAATGTCTGAATTTGCAATCTTAATGTTTCTTTAAACTGTTTTGTGTGTGTAGCTATTTACATAGTGACCCAAAGCACACGTGACACTTTACAGAAAATAGAGTAGAACTGTAGTTGTCAAGTGTTTGCAATCTAAATTTATTTAAGTCACAGCAGGAGCTAGTAACAAACAGTAGGGGTAACTGTTAAAAACATACTGCTTAGTGCTTAGGTAGCTGTGGTAACCATAGTATGTTCCTAAAAGTAGGTAGGAGACCAGAATTTAGGCAAAAATACTACAATTTTAATGAAGCTGGGAATGCTGGGAATCTAATCTGGCTACACTGAATGCATGACTTTGTGTGGTTGGGTTTGTTATGGTCAAGTCATAAAGGACATGCACAGATTTTTGAAGATGCTGGCCCAGGCTCCAACAGCCTGAGTTGGTTCCAAGTTTACTAACAAATTTCTTTTGATACGGTAAGTCATTTAGGGCCAGGTTTTTCAAGGGCCCTGAAACAAATAAAGATACAGTGAGGCACTTTTCAAAATGAAAAGTCTCTACAGGCAGCTGTGGGTGCCTCAGTTTCCCATTTGGACAGTAGATACATTATTAGTTTCTTGTGATATGCTCATACTGGTTTTTGCATTGATAAGTTCTTCAGGGATGGTCTTGTTTCTGGATTTTCAGTGCCAAGTGTGAAGGTTCCCTGGTTTGGCTCTAGGTTAAACTTGGTTGGAGTTTCTCATGCTCCTAAAATACATTGCCATTATGGAAGATCTGTTACTGTGGTCATTATGAATTAGAGAACCTTTACTTTCTTGGACTGTTTGAACTCTTGTGCATCAGCTTACTTAAGAGGTGTTATTTCTCACAAACTAAATGTCAAGTGGTGCGTCTTTCAGTGTAACATGGGCTTCCCTTTTGCTCCAAATCACTTGTCAGAGATATGAAAGTATGAATTCCTTGACTGGTGAATCAACTGTATAGAATATTTTGGTCTCACGACATTCGGTTTGTTTCTTTGTTATTTTATGTGCATTATGTGCCTTTTCTGTGTGTACCATGCACCTGCAGGTTGTCATGCAGTACAAGAATACTTCTGGTTAATGTGGCATTCAATTAAAAGGAAGATCAGGGAACTGTGTGATTGGTTGACATCGTGGCAACAGTATGTGTAGTGAAAAAACAGGCCCTTGGAAGATTGTATCTGTATCATCCAAACTAACATCATAAAGTAGATGAGAAGTTACAAGGTGAATTTGTAGCCCATAAAATCTGTTGGGAATTTTCTAAGGATTTAAAATACAGTTTTCACCTTTAGGAAATTAGAACTGAGAAAAGGTAATAATGTAGAAAGACTGTCAAGTGGAGAATCTTGATAGCTGTGTACATTCTTAGATTGTTGAAGAGGTATTTCTTTTTATGGACATATGTCCATTAGCAGAACAGGGTCTGGAAAACAGTTCTGATTTGCAGTCCATTATGTTCAAATTAAAAATGCAGTATAGAGAAGTTACCATCCAGAAAACACTGGAAACTATGTAAGCCATATAATAAAAGTAATTAGAGAGAAGTAACTGACATAGTAATGGCTTAAAAAAAAAAAAAAAGAGGGAAATACCCTTTGTGCCCTTCATGTAAAACTCAGGAGGGCCTGTATTTGGTGTCTCTTAAAACAGTTATATCCCAGCAATTCTAGTTAATAATAGTAAACATAACAAAAGTTAAGATGTAGTAGTTAAATGAGCCTTAAAAACGAAGAGTCCGTAATTTGCATTGTATTGTGTCAGGTAATGGGATTAAAATAAACTAATGTTTGCATTTATTTATATTTAGGAGAAAATGAAGTGTAGCTGTTTGAGTGCTGCTACATACATTCCATCCTGGAATGAAAATCACATTGTTTTGACTGCGTTATTTCTGTATCCATGCAAACCATCTTCATCACTCTATAGTTCTTACCTCCTTAATGCAACCGGGGTTGTGTCATTTGAAATTAGTGGGTATAAGGCCCCTTGGAGAGATAAAGAGGAGCAGCGATTTGAAAAAAATGAAATGCAGCAATCAGAGTTAAGAAGAAAGGGCATTTTCCTGGTAAATGTTTTCCTAAATGGGAATTTTTCAGTGTGGTGTTTTGCTCGTGTATTTGGCAGTCACTTGGAATCAAGTGCAGACTTGTGCTACATTGTGGGCTTGGCAATGACAATTTGTGTGTGTGTGGTGCTTTAGTTATATTAGCCCTGGAGGCAGAGTTAACACTTGCAGTGGGACAAGAGTATTTGCAGTCATCAGAGAACTTTGCAGTCAGCTTCAATAACATCACTCCATTTTTTTCACTTTTTTTTTAACATTTTTTTTGGCAGCAGAGCTCTTAGTAGAACCATCTGTCTTTCTATTAGTGTTTTTGAGTCCTGTTTTGAAGCTTCTTTGCTTGGCAAAGTCACTTTCATCCTTGGAAACCATTTAAAAAAAAAAGTTCTGTGGCTCTTTGCCGAAGAAGAGTACTATGCAAAAATTCCACACGGCTGTTCATTTTTGTTCTAAAAGAATATAGTTACTTTGTCTTTGTCTTTAAAAAAAAAGCAAACCACAAAACCCCAAACAAAACAAACAAAAAATAAACACATGAAGAAAAGGCAGATATTGGGCTGTACTAGGATGACTGACTGGGGATAGAGAACAAATCACATTTTATGTAATTTTTTCTCCAGCAATCCAGCTGAAAGTATGTATGTCTTACAGTTAACAAGATCAGAATAGAAAGGAAAATACTGAAGTAACAAAAAATGGATCAAGCTACTTCAGTGACTGGAGCTACATCTACTCCAGCTTCAGTCCCAATATTAATCTCCCACTGCAAGAATTTCCGTCAACAGCAATCTTGAACTTCATCCCTGAAAATTATTTCAGACTATAAAGATACAGTCAGCACACACAGAGGTGTTGACAGGTCCTGGCATAAATTAAGAGGTTATCATCCCAAATTTCGTATCATTCTTATGCCTTGTAGCATCATTGGGTGAACTGAGACATCTCCTGGATTTTCAGGAGATTAAATTAAAATCAAATTAAGTGCAGATGCTGTGGTCTGAATTGTGGCAGCCAAGGAGCTCGTGCTGGTTCTCTTTTGCCAGTTCTGCTATGCAGGCAATAATGAAGGGAGTAACACCTTCTCATGCCTCTGCTCATAGCAGGTTGTCTAATTCTCCTAGTTTCTTGAGGCTGTGGATCACAAACTGAACTGCAGTCTTCGATAACATATCTGCCTCTGGTACCTTAGCTTTACAGTGCCATCAAAAATCTAGACGAACTCTCTTAAAACTTGAGTCAGTCTCCCGTTATTGACTGATCTGGTCAGTGCAGTGGGGTTTTTTAGTTAAAACTAGTCATTTAGCATTTTAATCTAGAAAACTTTTTTGTTTCTCATCTCTGTGAAATACAAAGATGATGTCCATTTCTACCAATTAAAACCTCTGACAGAACTGGGTAAAAGCAATAGTTTTAGATTTTAGTTTTAGTTGTGCCATGACCAAACTCCAGTTTTGATGACTAATTTCTGCATGTCCTAAGTCCCCTGCAGTATCCACTTAATATAATATTTTCCACTTCCTGACTTGCATGGTTGTGTACAGTTGCTGTGCAGAGTTGAACAGCTAATGCTTCAGACATAGCTGTGTTTTATTTCTGAATAAAATGTCTCAACCTTTTTTCTTACCATCTCAGAGACCTTATCTTACACCTGCACAAATAAGTACGTGTGTATGGGCAGAAAAATAGTACTGACTGTGCTGTTTGCTACTTATGCACTTGTTTTGTACTTCTTAGAGGAATGTCTTTTTGTTTGGGCTCAGTCAGGGTGAAAGCTACTGTCTGAGGCAGAGATAGTGTTACACAGTGGAATAAAAGAGAAGAAAATACCACCCTACAGTCAAAAATAAGAGAGTCATCATGGACTGGGGTGGGGGGGAGTAATTAAGTGGGACATAGGTATGCGTATATGTGGAACTATATATGGAGGTATATGGATATAGCTATGATATAGATATGTGGAATCTTAGTTTATTTTGGATGAATGTAACTCCTGTGAAGTGTTTGGTGATCAAGATGAAGCTGAATAGTGGATGCTACTGGGACACCCCGTTACAGAGAGGCGTGTGCCAACCTGACCTCAGAGCAGAAGTAAAAGAAAGGGTGTTAGCAGACATTGTATGCAGGAAAAATTCCGTGTTTGATTCTCCCTCTCCTGTTCAGCAGGTCCAGGGTCAGCTGCCTCCATTAATGATTCCCGTATTTCCTCCAGACCAACGAACCCTAGCAGCAGCTGCACAGCAAGGATTCCTTCTTCCTCCTGGTTTCAGCTACAAAGCGGGATGCAGTAAGTCCTGTAGATTTTTTTTTTAAGCTGGAAACGGGTACAGGGCACAGTTTCATGCCAGTCTGTATAAAAGTATCACCTCACTGAGGGACAAAGCCTTTAATTTGCAGAGATGAGGGTGAAACAGAGGATTAGTCGTTACCATATGAGAAAAGGTTGTCAGAGATGAATTATGTGTTTCGACATAACAGCAAAACGTTTCACACAGCAGGTAGATTTGTGCACCTTCTCTCTGACAGGTCTTTTTGACAAGTGAACATGCTCATGACCACACATACGAACTTGCATCTGAAGAGAAGCTATTTGAAACTTCCAAATAAATTTCAACACTGTTGTAAGAAAACATGTTTTTTCCTGAAGCAGCCTGCTTACTATTTGTGAACTGAGGGCCTATTCTAGTCTCTTTCTTCACACAGAACTCACATTAATCTCAACGGGGGTTCTGCACAGAGATCAAAGATAGCATATGCCTTTCAGTTTGATGGACTAACACAAACTATGAGTGTATTTATGAGAGCCTAGCACTAAAAAATACAGCATCTATTTTTTTCATCTTTGAAAGATTTGTATTGTTCTCTACAATCCCCAGATTTTCTTTTTAATTTTATTTAAGCCTTCTATAGGATTTCATGTTCCTGTCAACAGGATGATAATAAATACAAGTTAAGGAATAGTCGAGGAACTGTATGTCCATGAATAGACTTAGCTAGAGCATGAATTTCATGGACTTGCTTTCATATTTGTGCTTATGCAACTCTTCTGCCATCCGTTTTCTACTGAGTTATCTAGGACTTGCTTGTTCTACCCTTCTCTGTCTCCAGCATGGATGTTTAGCTTTATTATATCCATGTCAGTGTATGCATCTGTGTCATTGACTAACTCATGAATTCATCAGGTGTTTTGAATTACTCAGCCCTTGCCACTGCAGCTGTTTCGTAAACTTGGAACGTAAAAAGATTTCTTTAGTTAAACTGGCTTAGCCACAATTTCAGATTTCTTTCAGTTTCTGAACATTGTAGATCTTGAGAGCGAACTGTTGTGTCTTTGTCCTCTAGTACCTTTCCCTAAGATTGTACAGACTGGGACCACTACTGAAAATTATTGCTCAAAACACTTCATGTCCTTCAGCAGCTCCAGTGCCAAAATGTAGGCTCATTCAGTTCTTCCAGTGATTTCACCTGCAGTCCCTCTCAGCTGGGAGAAGTAGTGATTCACATTACAGAATGCTTAACTGAAAGCCACACTGACTGTGAATGCTACCATAACTGTAGGCCTGGAAAAGGTCAGGAAAGCACCCTGTTAGTTATATATGGCAGTTAAATTAGTTATGGCAGGTTAATGAAGTCCAGTTTGGATAGAAAGAGTTGAGATGGGTTTTTTTCCCTTCTTTTTACTGCATGCACATTAACTTTCTAAGATAGACCTATAGTTCCTCACATCTATGAAGTAGATATGACATTACATGTTTGTGTAACCTTGAAAATAAAAAAGAAAGAAAAAAGAGCAAAGTTGCTACTGCTCCTGGCAGTAAGGCTTGGAATTAACTGCATGCCAAGGTCTAGGACTGAGCAGAAGCCAGTGGAAAAACAGCTCTGTGTTTGGTGATTCCCTGGCACGTTTCACTGAATTTGACTGAGAAGCTGAGGAAAAGTGATAAGTAGTCCAAAGGATTTCTTCTTTTCACTCACAGTTTAGTATAAACAAAAAAGCATATACGGATTTAGCTACACCTAGAAAGCTTGTAGCAATGAAAAACCTAGCTGCCTTGAAACTACATGTTCACATCAAGTAATGGTTTTGACAGACCATTAAAATATATTTCTCCCCCTTTTATGCTTGCCCTACTGTGTATCAGTACACTGTAAACCAAAGAGCTTTGGATAAAACTTTGTAAAGCACCTGAGCGATTTAGGAGACCAAATCTTCACTTGAAGAGTGACAGAGGCACTAGGATCCAAGTCTCAGGGTTATTTAAGAAATACTTGTACTGTAAACTTCATGCTATCTTGAGCTGAGCCGAGTGGGTACCAGCACAGAACTACAACAGGGAACATGGAGCAGATTAATTTGCTCAGCTTCTGAACAGGTTAAATGCCTAAGTTCCACTGAGTTTGCTTTTGGATGCAAGGCCTTCCTAGGAACTTCAGAAGACCCCTCTAGAAGCATCTTCACATGTCTGCCATTCTGTGTTCTAAATTTAGTTTATGTGCCTTATGAAAATGGGCCTCGCTTCTACATCTTCCTGGCCTTTTTGGAAAACCTGCTGTTTTTTCTGGACTGATATATTTTTCAGAATAATTTTGTATGGCCAATTGATAGGAATTCTTTAGCAATGATTCTTTTATTTATTAGCATTAGCAACCTGCACATAGGAACGATAAAAGTAGTTGTGGGACAATTCAGTTCCAGTCACAAATAACCGAAAACTATGAAAATTTTCTTATATTGTTCCTCAATAGAAGGGAGTTTTGAAAATTTGGGGGAGAAGGAAGAGAGAATTTTTGTGACAACCAATACTTTCATAACTAACTAATGATGCTGAGTACGTTGATTTTGGATATCTGTTGGGGACACCTTCAAAGGGAAATTCACACTGTTATGCACCCTGCCCCTTTGAAAAGTCAGATCTTCAACAGTGTGCCTGAAAATCAGCAGCATGTGATCTAAGATGCTGCAGATCTCTCTCTAGTCAGCTGTGGAATTGGTCACAGCTGAGGGCTGGGTTGCTGCTGTCTGCAGCCCCAGTGGCTGCAGAGAGAACCAATTGCAGCTGCTCATCACTGTGCCTCAAACTTCCAACATACAGGCCAAGCTTCTTGGTTAAGCTCTCCCTAACTTGCTTCCATCCAGGCTGGGATAGCAAGGACCCTGTGCTAAAATTGCTTAAACCGAGCCGGCTCATTTTCATGGAAACGTGTTGGGAAAGGATTAAACAAGCAGCTTGGTCACAGTGGTAACCTTTAGCTGGGAGCTGTGCTTGGAGATGGTGGGCTCTTCAGCCAGCACAGCTGCAGCTGGAAGAGGATGTGTGATCAAGCCTCGAGGTCAGCAAAAGAGAAAAAAATGATGAATAGCTTGTTATACTGCTGTTCTGCTTTCATTCAGCTTAGATAATTAGATCAGATTAACTCAGTGCTTTCTGATTCACCTGTCCCTCCCAACAGAGGGTCAAATGTATGTTTCCCTGTGGTTTCAGAGAATGTATGTGGTAGGATTCCTCAGCCAGTGCTTTCCAACAGACTGGTGACTTACCCAAGGAGAGACTGGAAAGGATGAGTACTTTTTGCTCTGCGTGTACTTTGTTTTCTGAGGATTTGGCTGAAAACAACACAAATATAGTTGTAACAGTTAATAGCAGTGGTCTGTTTAGACTCCCCTCATGGCAGATACCTAAAGAAGAGTAGAAGAACAGGGCAGAATTATGCTGATGCTTCATCTCCCTATGCTTTACCAGGTTCCAGGGACTGAGGACTCAGGTACCTTCTGACCTGAGTGGTGGCATTGTTGTGTGATATGTTACTGAAAACAAAGAGGTTTCTTCTGCTTGTGTTCCAGCCTGATTGAAAACATTCTAGCTAGATGAAATGCTCAAAAGAATACAACAATATCAATCTCTAATATGTGCAAAGCAACTTATTCAATTATACTTTTCCAAATATTTTTCAAAATTGGGTCAATACAGGGAGGAGAGGGGTAAATATTTTTTCCATGGTTACATGGCAGGTCATGGTCTTTGGCTTCCAATTTGATGCACTAAATTCCCTTTTCTTTCTTTTTCTTCACAGCAGATCATGCTTGGGTGTGGCTTGGTTTTTCATTTTGTTTTGTTTTTTTAAAACAGATGGTTTGCATTACATAAGGGACAATTTACACAAGTTGACACTTCCCCTTTTTTCTCTATGGCATATTGTGTGGTGGTAAAGTTGGCAGAGATAAAGAGAGGAACTTCTATTAGGATTACATTTCTATTTGAGAAAAAGATTCATAATCTATGCTTCCAGTTGATTTTTAACCTCCATCCCTAGTTATACTTGCATATATAAAATAGTTAATATTATTATTTATATTTAATATTAATATTTATATTTAATATGATTACAACCAAAGTATTTATTTCTTATGAGAAAAATAAGTTGGCAGTATGTGATGGACTGTATTGTCCACAATTAGCAAGAAAAATACTGGTCACCTACTTACTTGCTCCATGATTAGTTATCCATGCAGTGTGTGTTATCTGAAATTTAAGTATTTTTACTTCTATGCAAACCTCTTTATATGTATTTTATTGTACACATAATATGTATTTTTATATAGATGTATAATGCAAATCTTTTTATGAAGAGCTGATGTTTCAAAGTGGATTAACTAAGTTAGTGACCTACAGCATGAGCAGATGTTAGGAGTTAACCCCAGGATCCCAAGTATTTAAAATGGTTTAGCAGCAGATGAGCACCTTGCATTTGAGCTGATGTTGAAAGCAAACAGAGCCCAGTTAACGCATTTCCCAAAGCTTCTCCCACATTTGGGCTCTACAGATTGGTTCAGACCATTTAACCCTTTTTTTCTTCTCAGCCAGCATTCCATAACTACAGCTCTCACTAGATCAGCTCTACTTCTGATACTTAGTGGATAATAGACATGACTCCCAGCATTTTAGCAATGGCAAGTGAAATGTCAGCTCTGCTGAGGTCTGAGGAGCTGTTGCTGTTGACTTCACTGAAGTCAGATTTCACACCAGATGATACAGATCTGCTAGGGCCACTCTTAGAAATAATTAGAATTTATTTAGAGCTAATTAATATTTGTGAAGTGCTTTGAAAGCATAAAAATGGTGTAAGTGATAGAAAAGGTTTTGTATTGTGCCCTTTAAAAACTGCATAGTTCTGCCTCTGAGGAGGCTGCTCTTCAGTCGTAGGTAGTGTGATCCTTTTATTAATGCACATATGTATAGATTTGTATGTGGAATACTAAGGCATGATTGTATCTCCTGTATAACAGAT